ACTGTTACTTAGCAGACTGTGCTAATCTAGGTTAGCTCTCCACTCTGCGCTATGAGCACTGCTGTTACATTAGACTGTTACTTAGCAGCCTAGGCTAGCGCTCAACTCATCACATGCTAACCCCTTAAACCCTCAACATCTGCACAGGCATGTCAGTTTACCTATGACTGTGGTGTTGAGTGCAAGGCTGGGCCTCTTTGACTTGTCCCCGAGGTTCTGGGCGAGGCATTTGAAATCGCGGATCTCTTCTCTTGAATTGACGGTAATGCTGGTAACGTTGAAGACGGCTCGGTCCTGAGGCGAGTGCACAATGAAGCTACTGACCGTTTCCCCCTTAAACAGCAAAGTGTAGGTGATGGGCAGGCTGCCTCTGACACTCCGACATACAATAGAAAAGGGCCTCCCTAGGACCACATTCCCCCAGGCCTCGATCAGCGGCTTGGACACCAGGACTAGAGGGTGTGAACAGACACAATGAGTGATCATCAAAAAACAAGAACTAAGGGGAACATGAAAAGAGTTTGTGAAAACTGGTAAAATTACCTTTTGTTTTCAGAGCAAATGCTAAACTCCGTTTCTGGATGGATTTAGCCTCAACCTGACAGGAGTAATTCCCATCGTGTTGCACGTCTGCAGTCATTCTGTACTCTCCAGACGGAAGATCTACCACTTTGATGTTTTCCTTATACAGGTGATATTTCACATCAGTGGCATTGATTCTTTGGTAGTCAATGTGGGCAGACTTGCAGGAAAATGTCAGCATCTCTCCTTCAAAGACATTTCTTGGTTGCACGGTCAACACTGGCTTCGAGAACAACTCTGTGGGCGACAAACATCCAGTGGTCGTCCGTTATGTCAAACTTTTACGTACCATACAGGCCTGTACATATTGCTTCAAAACCAGTTGTTCAACTAAATGAAAACTTCCAGTGCGGGATTAATGGTTAACAGGAATTACACTCATGGTCTTCAGGTCTAAACCACAAAAAAGTTCTTAACCATTTGGTACCAATCGTTCTGTTCTGTGGCATTTGTACTGGGAATTTGCCAATATTATTTAATGGAATGAACACAATCGCCCAGCACCAATTATTGAGGTTTCATTGTGCATTAGCCACTTGATTGACAAAAGTTAGTTTATGTTTCTCTTGTAATAATCATCTTATACGAATCATCGTCATCAACTGTCTGTCCCAGGAAGTGTGGCTACTCTTGTTGGGATGTTGGCCAACCTCTGAAACATCACTGGGACTCAAGGAAGACCTGGCTAAGCTAACATTTGCTAAGGCAAAAAATATCCCGTAAGCATCACTTACAGAGGAAGACACTTCTCATACATATTTCAACAGGTCAACGAATCTCCTTTATGGACCTGCAGGTCAGTCAACCAGGCCAACCCGGCATGAACCAGCAGCCTCATCTGCCATATGAATGGAGCATGAGACACTGTTCTGTATGACATCAGCAGCTACTTTGCATCTATAAGTCTCAGCATCTGCTGCTTTGCCAGGCTCATGTTCCAGATCTGCTGTTCAGGACGGTGTAGCCCTTCATTATGAGGATTTTGAGGTTGGGTGGTAGGATCCCGCACACACTGCAGTGGACCTCCAGGCGGTTCCCCGTGATGATTTTACCCAATGGCAGAAAGCTAATCTCAAGCATAATGGTGAGTTTTAACAATAGATGAATCAGAGTTAGCGTAGGAAAGAGGTAGTCAATTCGAGGCAACGTGGGCACATGCTTCCACTCACCTCGCACAGCCACCACCTCCCTGTTGCTCTTCTCCGATGTTGCCTGGAATAGCAGTAGTTCGTAGCTACAGTGCACTTCATACACTCCCGACTGCTCAAACTTCAGCTTGGTCGACAGCGAGTTTTCCTTGCTGGAGTTCGTGTTGAAGAGGGTCGAGTTGTGGTACAAATTGAAGGTGAAGGGACCCTCCTCCTTGGGGGCCGTGCACTCGACGCTTAGTTCCTCCCCCTCAGAGATTTCACCCCTGGACACTTTCAGAGAGGGAGTCTCCACACCTGGCCGAACCCACACAGGAAGGTACGCACATACACATAAGCAAAGAGGGCTGAGCTGTTGGCAGCTCTTTCTGTCAGGGCACTGCTCAGCAAAACCACAGGCTGCAGGCTCATAATATCCATTGTTTTTATTCTGAACATTATTTCATGATCATTTTCTCATCATTAAAAGTGTCAGGGGATGAAAAGCCATCAGTGGTAAAATCATGGAGAATGAAGTTTAACACTGACTGATCATCATGTAGCTCCAAAAATATGCCATCCCCACAACACAGATTTACATCACTTGCGAGTCCTATCATGGTCAACCCAATGCCATTTCTTGATGCATTTCACATAAAGTATAGCAAATGTATATAAAATGATGTGTCACATTATGAGGGAGGTCTTCACCTCAAAATCCTCAAAGAGCCACATGTCTACCTCGGACAAAGCTCTATAGGCCGTAAATGAGCCTTGGGGTGATGAACCTCGGCTGAACCTATAAGCCAATCGGCTGCCTTTCTCATGGAGACAATATTCACAGCTTCACCCAAGCTGTGAATTACTCTGATTCACCTGCTAGCTTTAACATTGCTGAACAGAGGGGAGCATAACCTTGGCTTTACTGTATTTAGAGAGGCGACATACATAAGAGTCACATAATACATTACTTACCATCTTAACATATATAGTACTAAGGTTTGACACTTTTAATGATTACCCCTAATAAGACGGGACATTAAAACATCAAGAGCTATTGCTGTTCCTGCAGATTCTGTTCCTATACGTTCCTTTCACACTTCCATGCAGGGCAGCGTACCTGTGACTCTGAGAAACTCTGCCTCGCTCCTCACGGTTGCGTTCAGGATTTTGACCTCACAGGAGTACAATCCAGAGGTGGGGACCCTGACCGCGTGCAGGTGGTGGCTCAGGTGGCTGAAGCTGTGGTTTTCTGTGTGTATCAGCTGCTGGTATTTATAGAAGCTATACTGGTAGGTTAGGGTGGCCGTCTCTGATGCGTTGGCATCGCAGTCGCATTTGAGCTCGACGTCAGTGTCTCTCTGTACCTCAGTGGCTGGTAAAATCATCAACGTCACTTTGTTTATGGTGAAGACTGCAGAGTGACAATGAGACCAAAGAGAGAAGTTCAGTTGGTCGCCAATCCCAAATGTGGCACTTTCATGGAGTTAAGGATACATTCTGTCTCGTTGCATCATGTCAACAATAAGTAATAAAAAGAGGTTTGCTGATTTCATATACAATACTGTGCAAATTTTAGGCTGCAAAGAAAATTATGTTACAACTATCTTTATGCTAATGTAAAGCTATGGTTTTATGTAAATCGATTAGCCATTTCAAAAGCAAGTTACCCCAGTATTACCAGTAACCATCTAATAAACCAGTCAGTTTGTTGACTCCAACATTAGCATAGTATGCTTGGCTCATCTATATCCCATTAAGTTATCTAACCCATCCATCTTCTGTACCTGCTTGTCCTATTCAGGGTCACGGTGGTTCAGAACCTATTGGCACAAGGCAGGGAACAACCCAGGATGGAGCGCCAACCCATCGCAGGGCACAAGGCTTTGTTTGCATTGTTCCTATTTGTTTATATTTATCATTAATGTGAGTGGCTCATTTTGTTTGGTGTAATAAATACTGCTGCCTGCAACCTGCAATCACTGATAAAACATTTTTCCAGTATTTTTTTTCTTATATCAACATAAATATCATCATCACAAATTTCCTTGAAATATCGTAATATGAACTTGAGGCTATATCGCCCACCCCTAGTATCTGTAGCTATGTTCTTGTGGTCAGTTGCCTAACCACGGTCAAAAAGTGCGGCAACATGTTAACAAATGCCGCAACCTGTTTTGCAAAATGCATAAATGTCCAAAACAGCTGTGTGTTCACCTCCAAGGACATAGATATACAGACTGATCAGCTCCTTCATTTCTACAAGGCAAAGGGGCAGAGGGGGTGACTGGTGAATGGGGGCCATCCTCCTGCCCACGCAGGAAGGCCTCCCATCAGATAGGGACTGACTGGATCTCTCCAGCCAGCACCTACACACTCCTGGAAGCCGCCAGCCGCCTGCCCCCTCATCGGCCATGTGGGTCACCACAAGCTACTTTTTCTCAGACTGTCACCAGACATTCTTACTAAACAAAGGACAGAGCTGGGTAGTTCAGCTCCAGAAAGTAAAAGTCCAGACTAAGACTACGAGCACAATGAGCACTGCTGTTATATTCGGGAAAAGTGAAAAGAGTGTGAAAATGAGTGAAATTACCTTTAATTTTCAGGACAAACACTAAGCTCCGTTTTTGGATGGATTTAGCCTTGGCCTGGCAGGAGTAATTCCCATTGAAACGCAAGTCTGCATACATTCTGTACTCTCCAGATGGAAGATGTACAACTTTGACGTTATCCTTGTAGAGGTGATATTTCACATCAGTGGCATTGATTCTTTGTGAATCCATGTGGGCAGATTTGCAGGAAAATGTCAGCAACTCTTCTTCAAAGACATCTTTTGGTTGCACGGTCAACACTGGCGTCGAGAACAACTCTGTGGGCGACAAACATCCAGTGGTCGTTTGTTACGTCAAACTTTTACGTACCATACAGGCCTGTACATATTGCTTCAAAACAAGTCGTTCAACTAAAAGAAAACTTCCAGTTTTGCGGGGTTAATGGTTTAACAGGAAAAATTCATGGTCTTCAGGTCTAAAGCAGGAAAAAGTTCTTAACCATTTGCTTCCAATCGTTCTCTTCTGTGGCATGAGTACTGGGAATTTGGCAATATGATTTAAAAGAATGAACACAACCGCCAAACACCAATTACCACTGTTTTAGTGTGCATTAGCAACTTGTTTCATAAAAGTTTAACTTTGTTTCTCTTGTAAGGATCATCTTATACAGATCATCATCATCAAATATGAACCACTGAGCAGCATCATTAAAGGTCACGATTCTAGGATGAACAGCAGCCACCACACAGGGTGCATCTGGACTGCAAACAACGAGCTCAAGACTATGAGCACTATGAGCAGTGGTGTTACAATAATGAAATGTGAAAAGCGTTTGTGAAAATGAATGAAATCACCTTTTGTTTTCAGGACAATCACTAAGCTCTGTTTTTGGATGGATTTGGCCTCGGCCTGACAGGAGTAATTCCCATCGTGTTGCACGTCTGCAGTCATTCTGTACTCTCCAGATGGAAGATCTACCACTTTGATGTTTTCCTTATAGAGGTGATATTTCACATCAGTGGCATTGATTCTTTGTGAGTCCATGTGGGCAGACTTGCAGGAAAATGTCAGCATCTCTCCTTCAAAGACATCTATCGGTTGCACGGTCAACACTGGCGTCGAGAACAACTCTGTGGGCAACAAACATCCAGTGGTCGTCTGTTATGTCAAACTCTTATGTACCGTACAGGCCTGTACATACAGATTCAAAGTTTCAAAGAAAACTTCCAATGTAGAATTAATGGTTTAACAGGAATTACACTCATGGTCTTCAGGTTCAAGGCAGTTCTTAAACATTTGCTACCAATCATTCTCTTCTAAGAACATAACAAACGAGAGGAGGCCATTCGGCTCATCAAGCTCCTCTGGGGAGAACTTAACTAATAGCTCAGAGTTGTTAAAATCGTATCTAGCTCTGATTTAAAGGAACACAGGGTTTCAGCTTGCACTACACTAGCAGGAAGACTATTCCATACTCTAACTACACACTGTGTAAAGAAGCGTTTTCTCAAATTCAGTTTAAAATGTTCTCCTGCTAATTTCCACCTATGGCCACGAGTTCTAGTATTTAAACTAATTGAGACCTGTTAGAATCTTATATACCTGGATCATGTCCCCCCTTAATCTCCTTTGCGCGAGGCTGAACAGATTCAGCTCAGCTAACCTCTCCTCATAAGACATTCCTCTAAGACCAGGAATCATTCTTGTAGCCCTACGTTGAACCTTTTCCAAGGCAGCAATGTCCTTGTTAAGGTATGGTGACCAAACCTGCACACAATATTCTAGGTGGGGTCTTACCAAGGAATTATATAACCATAGCATCACCTCCTTTGACTTAAACTCCACACACCTAGAGATATAACCCAACATTCTATTGGCCTTTTTTATTGCTTCCCCACACTGGCGAGAGTGGGACATGGAAGTATCAACATACACACTGAGATCTTTCTCATAATCAGCTACCTTTATTTCAGTGGAACCCATAAAATATCTGTACTCTATATTTTATATTACCTTACATTTATCTACGTTAAATTTCATCTGCCAGGTATCAGCCCAGTCGCTAATTAAATCAAGATCCCGTTGTAGCCTCTGTGCTGCTAATTTAGTATCTGCTACACCACCCACCTTGGTGTCGTCTGCAAATTTAACCAGTTTACTGTATATATTTGGTGTCAATATCATTAATGTAAATTAGGAACAATAGTCGTCCTAAAATTGAACCCTGCGGTACCCCACTATGAACGCAGGCCCACTGTGACATTGTACCTCTAATAACTACTCGCTGCTTCCTGTCTGTTAACCAGTTCCTGATCCAAGCTGCCACAGTTCCTAAAATCCCTGCAGCTTTGAGCTTAAGCAAGAGCCGTTTGTGGGGGACAACATCAAAGGCCTTCTGGAAATCTAAGTAGATCACACCGTAGGCCTTTTTGTGATCAATTTCCCTTGTAGCTTCCTCAAAGAACTCAAGTAGATTAGTTAAACTGGACCTACCTCTCCTAAATCCATGTTGGCTATCCCTCAGATATTTGACATTTGTACTGGGAATTTGGCAATATGAACCCAATTGCCCAGCACCAATTACCACTGTTGCAGTGTGCTTGATTGACAAAAGTAAATTTTTCTGTCTCTCTTGTAATGATCATCTTATACGAATCAATCTTCATCAGATATTAATTTCGTTGAGCATTGAAAAGTATAACTGACTAAGTATAACGGACAATTTAATTATCTACATATATAACTAAAAGAGCACATCTACCCTCCGTAACTGTCTGTCCCAGGAAGTGTGGCTACTCTTGTTCCAAAAACCTAATGACACATTATGACAACAGCGATGTTTATGACAACAGTCATAAACATCAATAATGTGTTATTAATGTGCATGACATGTGTCATGTCATTTTTATGACGGTTACATGTCACCCTTATGTAGACTGCTTCAAGTAAAGTGTTACCATATATTACATCAGACTGACGAATCTCCTTCATGTACCTGCAGGTCAGTCAACTAGGCTGAGCGGAATCAAACGGCAACCTCACCTGCCACATGCACGGCTCGTTTGACGCTCTTCTGTCTGCCATTAGCCTCTGCTTTGCACGTATAATTTCCGCCATCTGCTGCTTGTGCCAGGCTTGTGTTCCAGAAAGCTTTTTTTGATCTGCTTTTCAGGACAGTGGAACCCTTCATCACGAAGACTTTGAGGCGAGGTGGTTGGGGCTGGCGGACCCTGCAGCGGACCTCCAGGCTGTCCCCCTCCACAATTTTATCCGACGGCAGAAAGTTAATCTCAGGCGTAACGGCGAGTTCTAACAATGAGGGGTCAAGGTATGAATCAGAGTCAGCGTAGGAAAGGGGCAGTGAAACGTATCAACATGGGTTCACCATTAGCATACCGTGTTTGGCTAATCAATACCCCATTAAGTTATTTTAACTAATTAAGTAAATAAATGAAGTAAACTGGTGGCAGAATTTAACACATGCAAAGAATGACCAGCTGGGGTGCCCCTGAGGGGGGGGGTGTTGGCAAGTTTTTCTTTGAACCACATAAAGAGTCACAGTGACTCAACTGGCTGGCTGAAACAAAATCTTGATTTGGATTTTTACTCTTTGGATCGGATTATCTACCTCTGACAACAGATACCTTCAGAGAGCTGAGGTGCCAGTGCTCGTCTGTCTCCAGAGAGCTGCCTTTGTCTATACATACAGTGCCATTCAGCTCAAGAAATTCTGACTACGTCATGGGAATGAGTGCCTCATAGGATCCAGCAATACAGCGACTAGAAGGCAAACTGCAGGGCATCTATACGCACTGCATTTATGGGGGAGAAACGATCGAGTGTGTGCGGATGACCCACTGAGAATTAATTTTGTACTGTCTACTGCCCCCCAGGCAAAGCAAGACACCGGCCCACAAACTCACCTGTGCCCAACGGGTCTTCTTGCCCTGCACCTGGCAACAGAAAAAGATCAAGTTAGGGAGGAACGGCCACACGTGTCTGATCTGGAAGGGCAGAGCGGCGGACGGAGTCCCTCACAGGCAGACACAAGGGTCAGGAGGAGCAGGCGGTGAGGCAGGGTGTCCATCGGCAGCTGAGGGTCCTCTGTTCACGCGAGCAAACCCAGGGAGTGTCAGAGCAGCCCACGAGCCGGGCTTCCCTTTCTCACGGGCCGGAAGCCGCCGCGGTTTCCTCAGGGAACATTTGCGTTTCCTCCATGGCATGAGGAGAACGTGCAAAGACGGAGTGCGGCCAGGATTCAAATTCCCAGCCCAGGAAGTGTAATTAAATCCCACTGCACTGTTTAAAGGTGTTTGGGTAGCTGCACACTGGCTAATCAAATGGCTTCATATTCTGTGCCAAACTGGGTTAATCAAATGCAACAAATACATGGAATGGCTGAGGTCTTCATCCAGCTGTCCAACAAGATAGCAGTAACTTTTTGGAGAACAGAAGAAATTACTATAAATTTTTATGGCACTGTTCTTAATTTGCATATGTCATAATGTTTAATGTTTTCATTTGGTCTGAGAAAATACACACTTACCACTTAGATAAATAGCTTTAAACATTTTGCACAGTACTGTACGTATACAAGGTGTATGTCAACTTCTTACACTTAAACGCTACAGTTGAACATCCAGTCACCCGTCAATTTTCTGTATCCAGTCATTTAAAATAGCAATCAAATATACCGGTCAACATAAAAGTTACACATATTAGTTTAACGTAACAGTTAAACAAAAAATGATCATTGAATTTAGAGTTTCTACTAGTCTTCATCAAGGGAGTAGTTAGAGAAGAATGAATATGGGGGCTGATTCTTTACTGGAGTGGCTGATGGCTGATGGCCCCTGGCCTTCATCATGTGGCAGGATTGTTGGTTTTGACTAATTAACAGACTCATTGTAATAGTATATAATACATAGTGCCTGGGATGATTTTGAAGATTCCTATAAGTATTTCAGGGCATCATCTTCATAAACACCGATCTAGTCTATTGTACTGAGGTTGTAATGCCTGTCATGTTCTGGTCATGGCTAATCGCCAGTGGCTCCATGAAAACAGCAGACAGAGGTGGCAGAGGACGTTCCTGCCTGGTTACCTCTGCACTGCATTATCCCATCAGCAGGGACCGTGACTGCTGGTGAGCGAGCTGTAAGTGGTAATGGTCAGTAACTGGGAGGTAGAGTTGGGTCTTTACTGGGTTTAATGTAACACCGAATGAAGGCTGGAGTTCATTTGCTTAGTTTCAGCCGTGTGATTTGTAGGAATTATGGTGGGACTGTTCACCATTGACTTAAGAGTGTTATAGTATAGACTTTCTGTCTATATTTTAAATAGATCATTTTTCTTTGTTTTCAGTTGGTTTGCCAAATATCTTCCTGGTTTGCAGTTATTTTTTAAATGGTCATGTCTAAGTATTATGTTTGTGATGAAATTATGTTTATGTGGTATAATTATTATTGTGTGTGTACTGGAATTTCTCCCAGAGTCTCAGTAATTCCCACGGGAAATCATCAGACATAACATCCGTTTTCCGGGTTTCCCATAATAATGCAGGTTTTGTAAACAAATCCAGGATCTGTATGATTGAACTGATTTACCAGATAAGCTTCTTTTATGAGTCAGTACACCGATTTCGGCACTGGGTGGCGCTGACGGCACACGCACGGAGGAGCCGTGACGAGAGCTGCAGTGAGGCAGGAAGCCAAAGCGAGAAAAGCAGAGTATGCAGACCTCTTGTATATGTATACTGTACATGTCTGATGGAAACACTAATGTTTGGTGTTTTATGTACAACAGCATAATTCAATGGTGTGAATTGTACATCAGCAGCAGCGGAACCATCCCTGGACACTGAGAAGGTCCTGGTGGCTTCCATCGTGTCTGTATTTCCTCAGAAGGCTGTGAACCTCTGTTTTAATGGGCACTTTGATCAGTCACATGGGCTCAGAGCAGACATGTCCCGACAATCACATGTTCATCATGGGATTGCAACCCCTTGACCCGACATTCAGTGACTGTATGCTTGTGGATCCCCACACATACAAAGACTGAATCCTTAACCTGAAAGACAGTCAGAGAGGCAGAAGAGTCACTGTATCCTTAGCATGTACTTCAGCAGTACATGGACTTAGACTGCTACGCGAAAACCAGCCTGAACCAGCATAGCAAGTCTGATTGACCCTTAATCGGTCTGCTTTAACAAGAAACATCAGATACGTATTTAATATACACCTCTAAGCTAATGTATATATTAGTATGACTTACAGGTGATCTAGCTCAGTGTTCTGCATTCTGATTGGAGGAAAGTACCTGTAATATGTGCTCTGATTGGAGGAAGATAAAGCTAGCCTGGTATAATTCCTGAGTTGTCTTCAATTCTTTCGCTTACAAACACGGTCATCGTGACCAATGAATTGCATGCAGCCAAGTGACTCACACCTGGACTGTAAAGATGCACAAGTTTTTAGTCTAATCAAGCAGCTAAGAAAACGCTACAGCAAGATAATGCCAACAATGTCACCTTGTGTTTCCGGTACAGCTTGGGTGCAAATCCCACCTGTGTGTAAAGTACTGGTATTAATGTTTCTTTTATCTTTGTAAACTTCTCAACACATGTAAATGTATATCATCTATTTTAGTATATACTCCATATTTTTCTTCTACATTGTCACAGGAATGGCACATCCCCGATAGCGATGTACATTCGTGACAATGAAGGTACTCTCTTTGCCTTCTATGCCCAGCCATTCATTCACTTGCTAACTCCTTATCCAGGCCAGGATCATGGAAAGGCCCGGAGCACAACCCAAGGAGTCTGTGGTACAAATTCACCAGAAAACCAGTGGAAACAAGGAGAGAACATATGAGCTCTACACACACTCAGGATGAGGGCGGGATTCGAACCCACATCCCTGGAGGCGTGAGGCTACCCCCTCCCTTCTAATAGCCTTATCACTGGGGCTGTGATTATAACCAATGAATGGAAGAAGTGGAGCTTTTGGTGCCTAAAAAAACAGGCACATTGCTGCCGGCAGAATCAGCGATTTCTGTCCACCTGTTACTGGCTGGCAAAGGCGGCGATGTGGACGAGGTCCCTGTGTGCAGCGGCGGTCTCGGTGGTTACAGCACCATCTGACACCTTTATTGGGACTGTACAGCTTCTCAAACCGGCAAAAATATCCTCAGGGACATGACATGTGTCACTTGCTTGTCCGACAACATGGGAAAAGGCGAATAGAACAGATACTGTAAGCACTGCTTAAGCCAGTCAGGGCAAACGGGATCTGCAATAGCGTGAAATAAAACGCTATAAACACAAAGAGACAAATTTCCATGTTTAATTTTGGGTTGTCTCTGTAAATGAGTCCGTGCTGGACTCGGCCAAGGCCGGTCACACCTCACGCTGCGCTGACCCGGTCGCTGGTTCCCGTCCTGCCAGCCTCCCCGTCACACATTCCTGCCAATTACCCCGCGCACACTCGGAAGCAGAGCTTTGACAAATGCCTCTCTTAAAGTGAAAGTAAAGTGTCAGTGACACTGCCGTCGTCCGCGGCAACAAGCTGACACTCCGCGATGTGTGTTAATGCCCGACGGCCGGTCCAGAGCACAACTACCCTGTGACGTTGCATCGCTCCGCATGTAAATGACTCGGTTCATTTGACGAGGCTCGTCAACGCGGCAGACGGTGTGAAAAGTCCATCAGCGTTTTCTGAGTGCAGGACCTCTGGCTACGGAAGGCGGACGCAGAGGTTAGCGAAGCAGCTCATTAGCAATCTGGGGCACTGGTGGCTAAATAAGCCATCCCACAGTGCTCCTGCTCTTGTGTAATTCAGCACACAAATCAAAAGAGAGAAATAAAACAACAACAGCAGATAGAGCATAATAAGGCTTAACATAGGAAGAGGGAATCTACTCAGGAATTACAGATGAGGGGTAGTAGGGGGAATTCTGGGGGGCGGAGCACAGACCAGCCCAGATGGCCTCATTCTTAGCTAACACCATCATATCATATCATGGCCAAATCTAACAGGTGATTCTATTACCCAGATGCCTTTTAAAACAGATGTGATGCCAACAACCTGGTCGGTTGGGGACACTTGCAATTGAAAGGTTGCTGGTTTGAATCCCCGACCAGCAATGTCACAGTATCACACATGGGTGAAATGCAGGGGACGCATTTCATTATTGTGCACTGCGCGCTGTGGTGTGTCAACAATGACAATTAATCACTTTAAAAAAGTAGCCATGGATACAACTGTAGTGTCCCGATTTGCGATGGGCGATGTGAATGCGATTCCTAACCTGCTGCTCCTGTTGTTGCCCCTGAGGTCACTGTGTTTGTGACAGATAGCTGAACACGTCCCAAGACGGATCACAGACTGCATGCATGTAAATAAAAAGCAGCCGTTGGTGGCTGTAAAACAAAGAGGAGAGAATGCGTCCCCCCCCCCGAGTAGCATTCCATTGTGGGGATGCATTTATATACCAGATGCTGGGTAATGACCAGCATTGGAAATGCCACGTTGAGCGTCTAATGGCGGATAGTGGGTTCGACTCTTGCTTGTGGCCTGGAAGAGCCCGTCGCCATAGACTCCCTGCACTGCGGTGACCATTCAGCCCCGTGACAGCGATCACCACATATTGGCCTCGATGAGCTTCAGGTTTCCCAATTCAGAGCCTTGGTGACCAGGAGTGCTGCCGTGAAGCAGGGGCTGAGAAACCCTCCATCCATACTCCACCCATACTCCACCTATACTCCACCCAAACTCCACCCAAACTCCATCCATGCTTCACCCAGGCTCACCAGGAGCTTGGCATTGAAGGTTTCCTGCATGTGCCCTTATTGCCTGGGAGGACGTTATCACTCAGGAGGGTAACAGATTTATACGCATAACACTTAAGTGAAACGTAAAGAAAAACAGAATACTCAGTATTCTGAGAGAAGACTCAACGAAATGGTCATTAAATGACATTAAAAAATAAAATTTAGAAAAGGAATTAAAGCTAAATTAAAATGAGCTTTTCTGTGTGTAGGGGGGGGCTTGGCAGTGCTGGGTGCTAACCGGTTACAAACGCACACGGCCGGACGAGGCGTGGCGTACTGGGGGGGGTTCATCCAGCCCGGGAGAGAAGCACGAGGCCAGCCCCGTTAGCCGACTCCAGTTCCCGCAGACCCTGATTGGGCCA